TCCACTGATTTCAAGTTCATAGGACTAGGGACCAATATAATCCCAACTGGTCATCCACAAAATATGGTATAAAAACTCAAGAATTTAATACAAACTGCGAAGAATAAACATCCTAGATCAAAATTAGTCTTGTGAGGTATTCAATCACATGGGACGCAGCAGACTACTTGACGCTATGATCTCTATAATGAGATAATGCCCCACCAATTATACACAGGCAATGACCTATCCTCCATCTGTAAACCAAGAGCTTGGTCTCGTGCCAAGTTTTAGACAGTGAGTGTGGTGTAGTACCAGCATCTGACCAAATTATTTTATTGAGTGAGACATGGCGTTCACCAATTGAGGAAATCTTATTTTTATAATTATAATTAGATTAAAATTGATATGTGAAAGGATATTGATATTTTAGATATGTGAAGTGAAGCACTAATACTTCTTCAAATTACAGAATATGAGTGGTAAATCAATAGTGAGTATAACCCATCTTAATCCAAAGGTCTTTTAAGTATAGCATATAGTGTTCCAAACGAAAACATGTACCTGAAATAGTCTTTACATCCCCCACTACATGTTGTCCCAAATGCCAGTCACATGAATATATACAGGGTGACCCAAAAAACAGAACCCTCCAAAAATGAAATAATTTCTTTAATACATAAGTAATCAGCTTCAGTTTTCATGTACAGAAACTACAATCTATGGATGACAATGTGAGACCAAAGTTACATAACATTCAATATTCTTCTTGTTATGGCCATTTTAAAAATGTGCCCACTTTTGAATGAAAAGAAAATGAAAGATTTTCATGTCAACCAAAAGGTTACACATCGTTCTTTTAAACCCATCACATTTTTTTTAGCTTCTCGTTAAGCTGTATTTTGTGATTATAGAGGGTAAAATCATTAATGAGGAAGTCTTCCAGCAACCTTTAAGTCATCTTCAGGTGTGGTTGCACCTTCTGAGCGATATTTTTGAACTTTGTTCAATGCAATCACACACAGTGCTTTCAGGTGTTCTCATACCCCCATTCTTAGAAAACTCCCTAGATAGGTGTAAGCTGGTAATTTTTTCCATTCAGGTGTTTAACAGTTCTCTTTTTTTCCTCTCCCAACTCATTATTTAACATTTGCGTTTGAAATCACATCTCATGCAATGGTCTTGAGTGATCATTCTACTGTCTTAAAGTTGTACTAAAACCAATTGAAGAATCTCTTATCTTGTTTTTAGCACAAATAGCATCCCTTTTGTTATTTTGACTACAAAGCTTGTGATATTTCCCCAGACAACACGATTTATTAACATAAGACTGTCATCCTTATTTTTGCGCACTTTTTGTGGTCACCTGAGCAGTGCAATATTATTCATTAGAACATAACTGTATTCACGCGTCTTCTATAAACTGTGAACAAAGTAATCATTTCACCCAGGGTATATTCGCGAACATACCCCTGGTGATTTGAGTAATGTGTGACGTCATAACGGCGGGCAGTAGTAATGGTGGACCATAATGAATATTCGAAACATTTTGGTGAGTTTTCATGTTCGAATCGTAATATAGACCTCAGAGCAGGGGTAATATCGTTGAATACACCCCTTAGGGCTAGGGACGAAAGCTTTCGAACGTTCGGGTTACAGAAAACGTTTGTGCCTAGCCCTGCGGGGTGTATTCGACGATATTACCCCTGCTATTGGGTCTATATTTCTTAACTACATATACAAGGAATTGATTAAAATGCATTTGTGAAACCCTATACCGATAACTGAAAATGTTAACCCAATAATTATATTTACAGCATTACATTCGGGTTAAAAAGTTTTATTCCCCAAACACTGGCAATGTTTGCTGTTATACAACTTACATGCTTTCAAACGTATTGAGGAATACCCTTTGCATTCGTTTGACTTCACTTCTTAAAAGAGAGCTTCGTCTTCACTCTTTCAAACTAAAATAAACCTGTGAACTCACCGCGCCAATCAGTGTTCGTCGGCCAAATTTGACCGACGTTCTATATATGGTCATTCCTTCTGATGTCATTGTTGAGCCCGGAATTGACCAATGACATGAGCATATTTAGTTAGAACGCTTTTGGCGTGTGTTTCTTCAAGCTCGCTGAATGGTGGAAGAAAGGTCAGCGCGTAGGTCAGAAGTGATTTATTACTCAAACTGTCACCGGTACCCGTCGTGGGGGCGGGGCTACTAAACTGTAATATGGTCTCTACTAGGCAGAGTGTAGTTTAACTAGACTCTGCACGCAGGGTAATTGAGGAAGGTAGCCAATATGACAATGATTCCTAATATTGGATTGATAGGATAGATATTTAAGAAATTAGTACACTTTTAGAAGGTTCTGTTTTTTGGGGTCACCCTGTATAAATACAGCTTTCTGGCCCGATTTGACCACCGTTCACCATGGATAATATATAGTTTTACAAATGGTATTTATAAATCACAGTGCTTAAAGTGTGTAGAGAATATTTTAAATGAATGTGGTTTTCCAAATATCTGGATATCTCAAAGTTTTGATAGTAGATTTGCACTGAAGTTAGAGTCAAACGCAAACTAAAAGATCAATTTATTCAAAAATAGAATACAAACCTACAGGAAAGCACATATCATTTATACAAGGCAATTAAGACCAATATTAACTTTGAATCTTATCTCCACCACCCATTGAGCATACGTCTGTACATAACAAAATTTAGGATGTCAAATCGTAATTTACCAATAGAAATTGGAAGATATGATAATATACCAAGACATTCAAGAATATGTAACCATTGTAATAAATTAGGTGATGAATATTTTTTTTTCACTAGAATGTATATTGCTTAAAGAACAAAGGGAGAAATATTTAAAACCATACTTCCAAAACAGGCCAAATATGTATAACTTAACTGCACTATTTACAAATAAAAGGTATTAACAATTCAACTTAGTAAATTTTTACAAAGTATTTTGAAAGGTTAAACCAACTGTCATAAGATATTGTATCAATTTTGTATTACATGTTTATGTCACAGGTGTGGGTAGAAATAAAAACTAAACTGAAACTGAAAACTGAAACATAATGATTGTGTATTTTCTAACATTTGTCTCCTCCAGTTTGTCTTCACATCTCTAAAAGAGAACTTCATCTACACTTTTTGAATAAGAAATAAGTTTCACATAAAAGGCATTGTTTGGTGCTATCTGAGCATTTATGAGTTTATATTATCATAATACTGGTCCTGCTTGAAACACTAAAAAACATTTTTCATCTAAGAAGTATTTGAGTGCATGTGAGAGTAAGCAGAAGAGAATAAACAGTCAATCTCTCTGGTGCTTCGGATAACGCTACACTGCACCATTACATTTTCAAGGATGATGATACACAATTTAATGAGTTTATCCCATTATTGCAGACATGACAATAGTTATTAAAGGACTCAGAAAGTGCCATAGAGGAACAGTAAAATATATTATTACAAATATTAGGTTAAAGTAACCCCAGTGTTTCTGTTTCTATAGGAACAACATAGTCTTAGAGTAGTTCACGTCCTCACACAAACAATTAAGCTGCTCTGTATTTATGACTGATAATGTAAACAGCCAATGATCTTATTCTGTAGTTTACATATACCATGGGCTTTCAAGAGAAATAAACCAATAAATAAATAAGGCCATTCAAAAATAAATACACGTTTAATGTCCATTCCATTCCTAAGATTTTAATTCTTCACATTCCAATCTCCTAAGATAACGGGACACTAAACATATAATTAACTCTGTACGCCACAAGGTAAAAACATGAAATTCATTTTGTTACGAAAAGATCCAGAAGGTTCATCTCACTGATAATGAATAACATGTAGATGTACTTTATAACAATACAATAAAATGCCATCAAACACTACACTAAGATGAACAAACACCTCTGTAACAAAGTATGTTAACATATTTTCATGGCTGCCAATTATATTCTTCTAATTGGCTTCCATATTACATCTACCTTTCTGAGACCAGCACTGATGAACCCATGAATATTCACCTTATAAGGTGTTATCCAGTACGTGAATTCTGTGATTGGTTCATCATTTTGATTGTTAAATCAAAAAACAAATGTTAGGGTAAAGGTAGGTGTACGTATATTAGTAGGTGTATCCCTCAATTATACATCTTACAATTTTATTGTTATCATATCGTTGACTTGTTTATTTTTTATTTTATTTTCTCCCTCATATCAAGAACATAGTTGTAGTGAGGCATTGACCACAAGACTAATAAATTACATATAAAATGAGCATTGTGGGAATAAGAACCTTTTTGTATGGGTGTATCACATAACCAGAACTACGTTTAATGATGCTGTGAGATCCATGAATAAAATGATGCTTTACTACTGTTATCTGTATATGTCAGGGCCCCATGAGACCTACTAAGAATTCTTTCAGAAATAGACTGAGTGAATGTTATAAGAAACCCAAGGTGTTGGATACATAATTTAGAAATTAACAACCATGCTTAAATAGAGACACAGGAAATGAAAAAATATGTAAAAGCAACACATTACAGCATGTTAATGACTTTATAATGATATATAACAACAAATATATGACTGTTAAAAAATAAATGCTATAGAAAAAGTAACATCATTTAGGAAATCGAATTTCCAATGGATACCATAGTTGGGAAACTGTCCTGATTATAGCATGTAAGAATGTAAATGTAATGAATACATGTAGATTTATTGATTGATTTCGATATTGTTAACTATCTTGTGTAATGATTTAGATATAATAGAGTTTTAGCATGGTTTTATTTATACCAGATACTGTAAGTATAAGTTAGTGTAAAATTGTATTCATTGAATGGCTACTCTTCATTATTGGAGGCTCAGCTTAATATCATCTCCACTTTTTAATATGAGATACAATATCTGGATCTAGCCTATCACTCTACTATACCTAACCCCTAGAAATTCATAAGAGATTTTGTTTGTCTAATTGTATTGTTTATTATATTTTTAAAAGTACCTTATTAACATCTAACAGTCATCCAATAAACCATTCATAAGCAGCAGACACATAAAAACAAATAACATAATCATTACTGATAAGCCTAATGGGTTGCTCATGTAGACCAAATGCAAGGTATAGTAGAGTGCCTATGTCCAATTGGAAAATGAAGTTAGAACATCAAACATAACATTTGAGATTGTTAAGATCCTGACAGTACCAAAACTGCAGAATCATTTGTTATAGACAGAGAGTAGTGTGTCTAATTGTCGATGCTTCAAGGTAGCAATTAACTAGCTACAGTCGTAGCTATTAACTAGCTACAGTCCAACCTTTCAACCTTTAATGCCATAGGGGGAGCACTAACATCAGAGAGTCTACAAGCAATAACTCATGGATTTTCACAACAGGAATCCTGGGTAATGAAATGAACCAATCACCCACTAGAGCAGCGCACAAGGGGTCGACTTATATTGCTGTTCGTAGTCATCGCTGCCAACTCCCACCTGAAGATACAAATAGGCTTTTCATTAATCATTTTTATCTCTAGTATTGTTGTTCAACTGCAGTGTAATTCCATTCAAATAAAGGCCACAATATATATCTACAGTATATTTGGGTAATAGGTTAAATTGATAGGATTTTCTATTCAGTACAAAAAAAATAGAACCCTCCAAAGACTTAATTGAGACACTCACTCAATAAAGTGTTCTTATCATTGAATCCATTGATGAACATTTCACATATTCATTTATACCCATAAAATGTAATGCTAATTGAGAATATATGTATTTATGACATATTTCTGTTTTTTATTACATTATTTCTCATACAAATTACAGAAAGATATTATGGTACAATAAAACCTGTGCAGTGGCGTAAGAACAATGTACGCCAATTTGAGTGTTGAAAAGTGAGAATAAAAAAGCTTATTAATTTCCCTGTTCTTTAGTCATATTCTCTCACCGTGAATAAATTGTTTGTAATCCCGAGAATACTAAAGAAATGTTTTTTGGACACAATGTGATATGCTCAATTTTTTCAATGGTACTTTTGCAAGGCTATATTTCTAGCATGGGCCACAGATATATGACCCTTTTTGGCGTAGAAATCAAGGTGATTTGGGGTGGAGGGGTAAAGTTAAGTTATGATAGTCAGAAGTTTATTCCAATAAAAATTAATCATTATACTGCTCTGTTTGGTAAGTACTCATTTAACAGATTGAATTCCCTTTCCAAAATGCTTTATTTCATGAAAATCAAGCCACTGTATATTCACTACCTTATGAATTTTAAAAGTAAAATACAGTTTTGCCAAGTATTCACGAATCACATTCTTTTCACGAATTTCAGAGAAAACAGTTTTTCAAAAACTACTTGATGATATACCTTTGCAACTTTTTGTGCATGTTCCGTAATGCTTATGTAAACTGTGGTATCAGAAGTATAATGATATTTTATTCTAACCTGCCACCGATTTTTCAATTTCACTAATTCGATTTAAATTCTGTTGCTATGTGGTTGCTAAGGAAAATCATGGACCGACATTATATTGGAATAATAATAAGTCAGCATTTCTATATTATCTTATGAAGTCACTAATTGTTGTTATTTGTAGTACTTCTTGAAATATGAATGTTAAACCCCTCCACTCCAAATCACATTGATTTTTACGCCAAAAAGGGCCACTGTGACCCAAGCTAGAAAAATAGCCTTGCAAAAAGTTGAACTTGTTGATTATTCAATTACGCGTTCCAATGATTTCAATTCAGTTTTGGAAGTACGTAACTTCTGTTCAAGAAAAGCTTTTACCTTAATTTGTATTTCATTTGAAAGAAAATATTATTTTTGGATAATATAGCATTTAGGCACCAACAATAATTTTGAAAGGCAATTAAAAAATTACATGTATCACAAAATGTCAAAAATCTACACCCCTCAAAGACACGTTGACCTCGATTTTACCTTTGTCGAGGGGGGGGGGGTATTTGGACTTGCAAAGGGTTGCAGACACTAGAGTTAGTTGTATCATTGATCACGGATATGTTTCTTTAAATCAATTGATCATACTAGTTTCTTAAATCTGTATTGTCAAGATTTAAAAGATGTCTTCCCATGGTGATTTTATATGATGAAAGACATTCGAACATTTTAAGCACATAGAAAGGTACTGTATTACTATAACAAGAAAATCAAGTGAAAATGACACTAGAAAAATACGAAGGCCATAATGCTATTTTGACAAAACTGATCCACTTTTTATGGAAATACCACAGAGGAGAGAAAGACAATGAACAAACTGCATTTTACTGCTTGTTTTCTGTTGGCTAGGTAACATGTTAATGACGTCACAAATTAAAATATAATAAACACTGTGATGAGTGACGTTTAGCTTTCTTGTCTGTTTAGTTGATAGGGCAGTAAGTGATGTCATAGTTTATGTTATATTACGTCATATCTTCATCACAAACACAACATATGACGTCGTGATCGTTGCTTTGATGATTTGCCATATAAGGTAATAATGGCGGACTTTTGGTCACGTGACTGGTCGACAGTCGGTCCATAGAACGAATGGCTCCGCCCACTTCGTGGGGGCCTTCGTAAAAATGACGTGTTTCGAGCATAAAAGAGGCTTTTCGATATATAAATGATTTGATTTTTGGCGTAGTGTTGAATTTAGCTTTAGACCTTCCTACGGCCCTGAAGTGGAACACTTTTCTGTAAACCATGAACATAAATCTCTGCTAGTAGAACACCTCCTAAGTGGAATTCTATTCTGAGGTACCAAAAAGGTGTTCCATTCACATAAGTTTTACTGTAAATTCAAACTGGAGAAAGGCATTGAGATTCCCTATGTATGACATACCTTATTTCCATGGGTAATATGTCAGTATTCAGCTTAAAGTCTAAGGCTGCAACAAGACACAATGTCCTCAAAGTTGGCACTGTAAAAAATATAAAATGTGCGATGAAAGTTTTTTTGAAAACAATTTGAAATCAAAGTTTTGGCTTGGTTGCTCGTCATGAGGGCCAGGTTGATGCACACTCACAAACAATGAATTATTAGCAAATAAATTATTACCATATGTAAAAATTTTAATTTAAATAGATGAACAGTATTCTTGCTATCCTGATAACAAGTTTTTCTTGTTCCAGTTTCATTTGGTTTGACAATCTTACTTTCCTCAATTCCTTGTCTGTGAATGCACTTGATTATTTTAAGTAAGTTATAGAATATAAAAACCTATATACATGTCTTGTAGGTGAAATCTGTTTATCCAAAACTATTTCAGAATTAATTCAATCATCACTATATCTTACATTAATTGACTTTAAAATTGACACATTTAGTATGTGGCAAAAATAATGATATATTGCGTCTGTATATGCTAATAAATAACAGGATACATATCATTGACAATGCATTCAAGAACAAATTACTAAAGTAACAAAATTTTTATTTAGATTTAATTCATCTTTACAATGACGTTAAGTGTGACTAAACTCACATTATTTCATTAGATGACTAAACATAACAGACACATATCATATTTAACTGTACTTAGTACTAATATGACTTTTAATAGAAAAATATTATGAGACATTTTACTAAGTGAAATCAGACTCACCTAGGTTCAGTGTGTAAGATTCACCTATGTCTAGGACATAGAAACCATGCTTACCTGTCTAGGACAAAGAAACCAAACTCACCTGCCTAGGACATAGAAACCAGACTCTCCTATATCAAGGATATAGAAAACAGACTTACCTACGTCAAGGACATAGAAAACAGACTCACCTATGTCAAGAACATAGAAAACAGACTCGTCTGTCTAGGACATAGAAAACAGACTCACCTATGTCAAGAACATAGAAAACAGACTCGCCTATGTCAAGAACAAAGAAATTAGACTCACCTGTTTAGGGACATAGAAAATAGACTCACTTATGTCAAGAACATAGAACACAGACTTATCTGTCTAGGACATAGAAAACAGACTCCCCTATATCAAGGACATAGAAAACAGACTCGCCTATGTCAAGGAAATAGAAAACAGACTCACCTATGTCAAGGACATAGAAAACAGACTTATTTGTCTAGGACATAGAAAACAGACTCACCTGTTTAGGACATAGAAAACAGACTCACCTTTGTCAAAAACATAGAAAACAGACCTATCTGTCAAGAACATAGAAAACATCATCTATGTCTAAAATATAAGAAACAGACTTACTTAGGTCCAGGACATAGAGATCAGACAGGTCCATTAGATCGAACTCTGTATTCTCCATTGGCACCTTACAAGGGCTGAAAATACATTTAATTTTAAAATTAATTTTTTAAATCAATCAAAGGATTTAAGCGCAACATCAGGGCTTCATTTTTTCCTGTACTGTACTCTGAGAGTATTTTTCGAGTGTGATTTAGTATCACAATTTTCGCGTAATTTTACTACAATTTATGGCCAGAGAGTACTCATAGTGAAAGATATGAGTAAAATAACTTGCAATACTGCACATGGCCCTGCCAGGAATTCATATCTGACTTGACTTTGGATTCAACCTTTTGTTGACCCTTAAAAGGTTAAAACATCATATCAGGGCCTCCATGCATGCAATCTTAAATATCTAGAAATGATACTCATAGAAACAAATTACAAGGAAATTAATTAAATTGTATGGTATTGGGTGGAAATCTCATCTCTGGCACAAATTATGACACATAATTTACAAGATTAAAATACTGTATGCCCCTAGTCAAATAACAACCATAGATCTCCAGTGTCAAAACTAATTACAGTTATATTCTATATCATGTAATTGAGGACCCAGCTTATTACATATTACTTTTCCGGTGATTGAGGTCAGAAAATTGAATTCCAACATTCTGATACCTGAGACCTAGCACTTTGTTTAGTAGGATGATGATATTTCATGTAACATCAAAAGTTAGTTAATGATGTACATGTACATGTAAATAAACATTACCTTTTATCAAAATCTTGAAGTATGCTAAATTATCTTCCATACGTGTATGTATATATACAAGTGTCATTTTACAACTTTCAATTCATTCAATAATCTATCGCACATGTGGTTATGAAGAGTATGGTACAGCATACAATATACAATTATTGACCTCTCCAGAGGTTTACTGTCAAAATTATATCCCGAGACTGTAAACCTCGACCTACAGTCTCGGTTTACAGTCTCGGGATATAATTTTGACAGTAAACCGAATGGAGAGGTCTATAATTGTTTTGTTAGTCCGAAGAATATCTTAGATTTTTCTGACCCTTGAAGTTGACTTGAAGTTGGATCCAGACCCTCGAGATCTACATCTGCCACGGCAGTAAGTTCACTCAATGGAGTCAAATTACTCTCCTGGGCGAAGTCCACTAAAAGCTTTGTACAAAGTTTTAGATTTTTCTTCGTATTTTGACTGTCTTTACTCTCTAAGAGACAAATAATATCCTCATCTTCAATATTTTTGAAACGGCTATTGCTAGCGGCGGCCATTTTATCGTCTGATAATGACGTCATTTTAGTGGAATGCTGGGAATATTATTCACCGGCAATGCATTGCGCGGTGTACAGTTAAAATTATTCACCGCTCGTTGACCAATCAAAATCGAGTATTTCAACTGAGGTACTAACAATACAAATTGTCTGTACCTATTGTAGGTTCGCTCAACTAATTATGCTCTTTGCACTTTCCATGTTTTCTAAAAAATATTAGCCACAATATTTTCTTATATTTTCACAAAAAAACACATTTTACAGATTATGAAGATTATATTCTTTTCTGATAATCATTATTACTGATACTTTTCCGAGTGTCACTTTGAGTGTCACTTTGACAAATTCCACACGTCATCTTTCCATCGTTGTATTTAAGCCAGGGCCACCCTGCCTTCCAGTCTGGCCGGAAAGACCTCAATGGTCCCGGCATAATTTTGAAATATTTAGCTTGACACACACACAGATAGAATAACGAACGAAACAGGTTTGCGAATATGAGCTAAGGTCAAATTTTCATAGACTCGAAAATAAATTTTGGCGTCTCAATTGATTCATCAAAATACCGAACGCAACAGGTCTTGTGAATGTGCCCCGTGTTAAATTTCAATTGAAACAAAAATAATTGTGGCGTCTCATGGGTGAAATTACAAAAATTACTAAAGTTGAAAATGAAGAATCCCCGATAATTTATCTGTTTCTCAGATAGGTTCTGTACAAAGATCTTCGCCACTTGTGCGAATATTTAGATCAAGACAGGGTTCGTACACCTTTTTCAAAATGAATTTCCCTGACAATTCCTTGACATTTCCAGACAAAAAAGGAAAATTCCAGATCTAATTTTCCTTGCACGGCCTCTAAAAAATCTCTAACAACTGTATTATTAAGGACAAAAAGACTTATTATGAAACATTTTGGGTTTCTCCTTCAGTACCATTTCTCATGACTTTACTTGTAAATCTGATTCACCAATTTATTCCTACATACATTATATTTTTAATATTACATATTTTACATTGTACGAGTATAAGGCCAAAGGTAAACATACTCGTACATGTATATAGGGGCGAAGCCAGCAAGTGTCAAGAAGGTGTAATTTTTTGAGCTTGCATCACGGCGAGCAAAAGTAACCCAAAGGGGGGGGGGGGGGGGTACGGAGGTTCACCCCCGGAAATTTTTTAAAATTGACATTGTATATGGTGCATTCTAAGCATTTCAAACTATAATTTGTTAATGTTTTGTAATGAATCCAAATGACAACTAAAACTTTAAAATTTTGATCTAAATCCTACTAGAAAAATAGCAACTCACTTGAGCAATTCCCATCTAATGACTAATGAAACATATTTTATTGAATACTGATCATTATGAACATTATATGATAGTATTAACCTGGCATTACTATTGTCTTCTCCCTTTTGGGAAAATTACACCTAAACAATTGACACCATATTAGAAATTCCTTCTCAAGTAGCATCACGGTAAGGCTCAGGCCTATGATACCAAATCAAATAATCGGTATTTGTGTTATCAGGAATAAAATTTCATAAAAATGGTGATAATTTTGAATTCAGAGACCATCTTGAATATTTCTTCTTGAGCAGGTCCTTTGTCCCTAAAATGCCGGGTTCATCTTTACACGAAGAAAAATTTGGACCAAATTCAAAAACTGTTAATAGTACCCGACACACATTTTGGTTGCCTAGGCCATAAGAAGTAGATTCTTTGTTTCGCGTCCTGGCAAAATCCAAATCATTCAAGGGTACAAGGAAAACAAACACAAACTCAAGAAAAAATACAAACTTGTTTGCTGAGAAATGTATAAATTTTAAGGGCATAAAAAGGGATGACATGCCAATTTGCAGTGATTACAAACACATATCTAGGCCTATAGAATTTATACAATGTATTGAAACATAGCTATTATTCAAGGGTAAAAAATAAGAAAATGAAATACACAATGTATGCCAAAGTAATCAACAACACTGCCAATTTTGACGCATGTTAAATTGCCATTTCGTCTGATTCTGATTGAAGGAATGTGATGCTACTTTTAGACCCTTGTGATTGCTATTTGGATGTGTTTGTTATTTCTGATTTACTCAAAATCTTCCAAGCAAGGGGACGCAAAACAAAGAATCTACTTCTTATGGCCCTACTTCCATGGGCTAAGGTTTTCAAAATTGGCAAAGCCCCTGAAAGTTGAAAAGACTGACGCATGACCGGACTGTCGAACAGACAGCTTCTTAATATAAATACAACTCCCCCCTCAGATTAACCCCTCAACAAACCATGAAACATATATGTACCAGTAATTAACTTTGAATTGCCTTAGACTAAGCTTACTACATGGAAAAGCATAATTGTATTAATCATCTATACATTATTTATATTGTTCGGTTTCAGTATAATGTGTTCACACTGTTCTTACAAATAGACAATACCAGATCTAATCTCATTCAATCAACCCTAATGAAAAGATTTCCAATTTGTGGAAATAACTAAATGATTTTGAATTTCATTGTTGATATCCTGTCATAGCCCTAAAATGTATTTTGCTGGAACATTATTTTTTCAACAATGATACAAAATTCCCTGACATTTCCCTGACACATCTACTGTTTCAAATTTCCCTGACATTTTTGTCCCTTTTTGACCCAATTTTAAAATTCCCTGACATTTCCAGCACCTGGAAAAATAAATCAATTTCCCTGACATTTCCAGGTGTGTACGAACCCTGCAAGATCTTCGCCAGGTGCTAAAAATATTCGCAATTGGCGAATGGCAACAGCTTATCTAGACCTCTGATAAATATGCTGTGTAGAATGGAAAACATAACATATCTGAGTGAATTTAACATACCACAAATGTTTGATTTAATCACTGAAATAATTAATAGTTATATTTAATTAAAAAATCATGTCATGAATAATACAGTAAAAACTAATAATAATAATAAATAAAATTTACCTTGTTCCCCCAAAGAGGAAGACTCTGTCCCCCACGACACAACAACACTGTCTCCTCCTGGGGCATGGACCCTGTCCTTGGACTGTCACAAATGACCAATGATTCAGAGCTGAAATAAATATATTAAGAGTTGGCTATATTTCGATGATGTCCTATGATACCTGATGCATAAGATCTTTATAAACCAGCAATCTCCCAGGCACTGGCATTTTTTACTCATGTTGGTGAAAACATCTCATTATATTTTATACTACACTTTTCTACAGATTGAATCCCTCCCAGTATGGAATCTCCATATATTGCAATATACAGACATTTTTAAATTCAAGTAAGGGTTTTCTAGATGATCTAAAAACATAACATTCATTCTGAGTCTTTATCAGAAAAGTCATAACTTACAGTTAAATTACCGGATAAATAATAAAATTAAACTAAATACTGAAATTCTTTTATGTATTGTAATATAATCTGGGTTGGCCATAGTTATGGCGATGATACAAATGAGTTCTATTCCCTACTTCTATCAAAAGAAATTTCTTAGAATTATATTAGACAACCAGACAAAAATGGCCCATTCAGCTCCTTTTTTTAAGATATACAATATTTTGTACAGATGTATGATTTTTTTAAAATAAAAGTAAAAAAGTTAAAAATAAAAGTAAAAAGAACAGGCTGTACTGTATTGTCACTTATAATAAGCCTAAATTTCATGAGATAAAGTGATTTATTGGATCAACAATTTTGATGCCCATTTTCACGCTCACTAAGCAGCAAAAAATGATTACATGATATCACACCTTCTGAGTATAAGTGTGGTGATAAGAGAGACACTACTATAGGAGATGGCACCTACCTGGGTCAAAGCAATGGAGGTCACGAAGGTGAAGGTCATGCAGCCCATTGTAACCCCCAAATATGTAAAGCTTATTGTAGTATAGAACTGAAAAGTAATTAATTAATTTAGAAAATAATCATCCTAAAATGGTAATAATAATATATTTTTACAATAATATACTTTAACAAAGTTTTTGAGCAAAACTTGATCAGAAGGAAGTGTTCTCTATATCTGATCTTTTCCGATGAGATTATTATAATGATTGTGAAAATATAAGTATGATGATTTAAATATACAACATGTATTACACCATACAGTAGATGTTCTGTAAAAAATATTATGTGGAATATTGACGAGCAAAAAATATTGCAAAAGTGTGACAATATTTTTCAAAACTTCCTCTAAACTAATACCTATTTCTTGAGACTGAATGCTCTTCCTTGTACGAATGCTAGTACCTTCAACTATTTTTATGTTATGAGTATTGGTTAATTTTTTTTCTTCAGCATGTATTTTAATGACTTCAGTATGAAAGAAATGTCCCTTGGTTTTAAGGTCTCAGATTGTAATAATGGTACTTGAATGATGGGGAGAGGGGGGGGGGTATTAGACAGTGTTTCATGTTAGATTATATTTTGAGATAGTTGCTATTTTCTTATGACTTGTGTACACAAACTTTGTCTTTAAATCAAAGGGACACTTACAAGCAGAATGACTCCTCCTGCCAATGGGTGTACAACCAGTTGTAGCAGGCTCAGACCAACTGCATGTCACAGTGTCAAATATTTGCATCTTATTGCAGTACATCTCATTATTGGTGTGAATGGAACCAGCCTTATCACTTCTACCTCCAAATATGTACATTTTATCCCCAATACCTGTTGCAGAGTGAAAGTCCCTCCATCTTGCTGGTTCACCCTGAAATTAACGTACCATTAACTTGACAAATTGTAACCACCTGTTAAGGTATTGCAACTGACTATAAAAGTAGTTCTCCTGAAATGGTGATGCCTGGATTAATGGAACAGCTTTTAAAATGGCTGCCGGAAATAAGGCACCCAAATAGAAATGAACTAAGGAGATTGGTACTATCTAATAGACTTTAACACAAAAACAATTTTGGAGAGATTCCTATGACCACTTTTCCTGGGATTATGGATGGATTAAAAAGATTAATTGTAAAACTTCTAAAATGACTGCAAAAAAATTAGATGGCCTAGCCCCCCCCCCCCCCCCATAAATAAGCTTTAAAACTTGGTTTTGACTAAAGCTTTTACCTTTGATACTTTGTAATACTCCCAAGTTAGAGAAGTCAAGTCTAAGCCATGTACATCATTGGAGAATTTGTCCATCTGGAATGCACATACAAATATATAAATAACTAGAAAAACAGCAACTCTCCGGAGTAGCAAATCCCATCGAACAAAACATATTTTATCAATTCGTCATCATGAACATAACATGATAGAAATAACTGTGGCTGTAGTATTGCAATATTGTCTCCTTTAAATCCATGATGTGACATGATTTCCTATGACAAATTCCTTCTCGTTCTCAGGAATCAGCAAATATATGTTGAACCAATCTGTCAACTGGTATCCGAGTTATGGCCTAGTCACATAGCCCGGCCGATGTCCGGCATCGGTAGAGCTCGGTGGATTTTTTTGGTGCCACCGAGCTCTCCTCATCGGAAGCAGAGCTCGGTGACGTGAACGGACTCTGTCCGGACATCTTCAGGCGACCGACTGAACACCGGCCGGTGACCGTACGGAGTCTGTCTCAAAATGGTAGTTTTTTTCTGCCGATGTGGCAGCAACTACCGGCCGGAGGTCGGCCGGACATCGGAAGGAATACGGCCGGTACCCGAGCAGGTAACAGGACACCGTGCGATCGCCGGCCGGGTTGTTAACGGGCTTTGAACAGTGACCGGCCGATGCTCTGTCCCACATCGGCCAGAGCTCGGTCGGAGCTCGGCCGCTGTCCGTTAAAAAACCTCGTCCTCTGGTTGTCTCAGATGCACGGGACACCGGCCGATACTCGGCCGTGCACCGGCCGACGTGTTTTCCGATGTGGTTACGATGGGGCTGCGATGACATGATGAGGGAGCTCGGTGAGAGCCCGGTGAAATTTAACTCCGAAGTTAAAATTTCACCGAGCTACCACCGATGCGGTTTTAAGCAACAAACGCCACGGATGTCCGGCCGGTGTTCGGCCGAGTTCGGTGAAAATTGCATCGCTGGCTCATCGTAACCTCATCGGCCGGGCTATGTGACTAGGCCATTATCAACGACTACATTTTTATGAAAAATGGTGGCCATTGGAACTCAGTGGCCATCTTGAAAATTTCAAGTTTCAAGATAAATGCATGAATCTATAGAATGTAATCAGAGGTATCAGTTATTATGACAATTATAATTGCAATTTTAAAATTATAATTTTCTTCTTAGTACATGTACAACTTTAATGTAACATGTAGTGTATTAAACCAGCTACAGCAATGAACTCACTGATAAAAATAATAAAAAGGCAGGCCCATAAATCAAGCAAGTAAAAATTTGTAAGTACATGCTGTTTTCTTTTTAAAATGATTGATATTTTATGATGCATGGTATTAGGACTAAAACATTTTTATATAATTTTTATATTTACAGTATATACTCATTCTGTTAATAATCCAAACCCTATATGTGATTATCTGCTTACACAGATTGAGGGCAATAATGTCATCTCACCTCTTCTTCATAGCCTCCAAATATGAGCATTTTATGCCGAATGATACATGCAGAATGTCCATCCCTTACACTGGGTATGTTCCCATGCACCTTGGGGCGAAACCATTTGCGACTTTCTGAAAGCATATGATTCTTTTCTGATTACTAAATATCAGGTACTTTGCAACAGAGAGAATATACAATTATGCAATGAAATATTCTTTGGTTTACAAACCGTTTACAAACCCATCTGAAGGGCAAGGGTGGTGGGGCGATCAGCGGGAGGGCTGAAATAATTTTTCTAGAGATTTGTATTTAATTATGCAAATATGGCTCTAAAATAGCCTCAGCATGTACAGGAGGGCCTAAATTTTAAATTTTCCCCACAGAGCCCCTAGCCTGCGGCGCTCCACAACATTGACACTTTCATTAATTCTGAAAAAATGAATGATTTTTGGTAAATAACTGCACTGTTCAAAAGTTTTACACCTATATCCAGCAATGAATATTGTGACATCATTCCCAGGTCAGAATCAACTCAAGTCATATCAGGTAATATTTTTGTCAGTTTTTGTGTTTTTATGTTTTTCATGTTTTTTTTGAATTCTAATACAGGTAGTTATAGTTAATTTCATGATTTAACATGAAGTCCTCACTAAACAACTATAAAAACATCAAGACCGATTGAGTCATTGAACTCTACAGGGTGTCCCGAAAGTATAGGGCCCCCCCTAGGCAGATATATTCCAGTGTCCTCATAGTATGTGTCATATATCATTTTAAAGCTTATCCAAAGTTACATTGATTTGTCAAGTATCATGTTTTAACTCCAAAATGGGAAAAAGTTACAGTCATTTTAAAAGTTAGTGTTTTGTCAAAATAAAGTTCTATTTTACACCACATTACTAGTCAATGTGTCCCCCTTGGCCAATGTTAACAGCAGCAATTATTTTCAGATACGACCTTAAAGGCCCTTCAAATAGGGGTGTGGAATTGTATAACCCTCTTAAAACCTGTTAAAGCTGGACTATGCTCCGAAACGCAATCTTGGGTTGTTTCGGGGGTGAACTTTATCATTTTGAGCTTAATGAAAGATTATAGAATGATGAACAAATGGGGCAAATCTTGTGTAGAAATACTTACGATAAATGTGTCATTTCAAAGATTTTTCATTGAATTTGCTTCGATCGGTGCCGGCGATATGCTTTTGGAAAGGTTTCTAAATGAAGAACGTGACGTCACTTCCGAATCATGGCATTCAAAATAAATAGCATTTAATTACCTCCTCTTTCATAATAATACGGTGGTGTAGCGGGTAGAATCCTCGCTGAGCACGCGGGAGGCCCGGGTTCGAATCCCGCATTAGCCTTTTTATTTTTTTAACTAAATGATTGTTCTTTGATATTACGCAGAAAAAAACAATTTTTATTTACATAAACTTTATATTAGAGCTTGAAAATGTAAAAACAATATATGTCAACATATTGCGTTTTGGAGCGATGTGCAGGTTTAAGGGACTTTAGAAGAGTTTCCTTAGAGTTTCTACCCTCACCGTTCTCTTTTTCCAACTCAATATTCATCCGACCTGAAAAGAATTGCTGCTGTTAAGATGGCCCGGGAGGACACATTGACTAGTGATTTTGTGTAAAATTGAACTTAATTTTGACCAAACACTAAATTTTGAAATGCTTGTAATTTTTTCACATTTGAGAGTTGAACCATGATACTTGGTGAATCAATGTAACTTTGGATAAGCTTTAAAATGATATATGACACATACTATGACGACACTGGTATATGTCTGCCTAGGGGGGGCCCCATACTTTCGGGACACCCTGTATATGCACATTTCAAACGATTTTAGACTCTGTTTTAAAGTTTCAAGGTTGCAGCTTTGAAAAGATGGGGCCAAGGTGATGGATTATGCCAATTTTGTAATTCAGGGATTGATGATATTTTCCCAATGCATACTCTAAAGTCCATATTTCTCCTAGCTCCCATTGTTAATTTATTTTGTAACCTATAATGAATGCACTTGAAAGCAAAAATGAACACATCTTTAACCATTTTATGTCCTTTAATGTTCAGAGCAAATTACAATGGCTAATGGCCAAAGATATACATAGCGTTTGTGGGTATGAGAATGAAGTTTTAGTAGATATAAAACTATTAAACAATTTTTATCAAATATAAAGAAAAAATGTAAAAGAAAAATTACAAAGGTCGGGATTGTTTATCTCAAAACTTATAAAGACTAACCCAGGCAAACTTGTTCCAAGTTATCTTATACGTATGTATATACATGTACATGTATACTGTATATGTTTTGTCTTCCTATTAAGTACATTCAGGGCACTTTAGGAAATCTGATAAGATATTATGTAGAACTTGATTAAAACTGACAAAACAAAGATTGGGGAGGCATAAGATTTAATTAGAAATATAAGTATAATAGGTAATTAAATATTTTTATGATTGATTCGTGTGTCTCAACATATCATGATTTCACCATTATGATCCTAGCAAGATGTATAGATAAACAATTAATTGGCACTGATACATCATGAGTGTAATAAACTAGGGTTGGCAAACTCAATGATGAAATGATTCCAAACCTGGACAAAGCAATTGAGAACAAGGCAATAACATGCAAAATGTCACCACCTGCCATTTGTTACAGACACAAAACACTGACTGCCAAACATTGTCCAAAAAAGGTTGGATCAGTCACTATGTTAATATATTGTGGTGCTGACATAATAATACCACATAACACCACATATATTAGCCTAATGACAAAATTAGTTGCTTCACAGGTATATGAAATAATGTCATATGTGGTATCATACTAAAGGGACTCGATAAAATTAGCTACATTGACCAAATTGTTTACATTTTTCGGATTAGAAGGGTTTATTCGTTTTGAAGGGGTGAATGTATTGAGCATTTTGTGCAATACAAAATAATTCTCAGTTTTCCTAAATGCTTGCAACTAGACTGTCTCGTTGCTTTCGTTATCTTAATTGATCAGTTAGTCTGTTGGCAGAGTCAGGTGCAGCAGGTCGCGGGTTCAATTCCTGAAGGAATTTTTTTTTTGGGGTTGTAGGCCCGTTTGTTAATATGCAGAAATAAACAAGTATCAGAGTACTATAGCCACATGATGAAAGTTTTATAAAAAATGAAAATTCACTATACTAAAGCTAAATGAAACGATTTATTTTCACATAGAAAATTTTCCTGTTTTCGAAAGAAAATGGTGGATAAAATTGAGGTTATAGACTCGTGACGGAGACAGGGTTGTCACGAAATACATACATGTATAAGTTTCACCATAGAAAGGCTATATGGTAGGATTAAGGAATTAGTAGCATATTCCGGTAAGTGTTTACATAATAAAATAATAAAATGATATGGCACAAGAACTGAGCAATCAGAGGGCTTTATTTTAAAGATCATACAATGAATGTAACAACAGTCCTAATCACTTTTTGTGGGTATAATCAATCCCTTGAATGACTGAATATTGACTAAACAAAACAGAAAATGATCTATAAGCCATAATGCTCAGAAGAGACATCTATGAAACAAGAAACATAATATATGGTACAAACTACTGTCTGTTCTTACCAATGTCTGTCTTGACATGAGTCTATTATTGTTTAAGTCTATTATGATCAATGTCCCTTATTTGGTAAACGGATCTAAAGTTCCTAAACAAGCTGAGACTTCATATCAATTTCTTCTTCACTTTATTTTCTAATTTTCGTTACAAAGTTCTACGTCAATACCATTTCTTCAGATCTTAAATGTTCTTCCACTTTCCAAAACCAATCTTACTTTTCTATTTAACCCTCTGTCTTTTTAGGCCTGGTCTTATCTTTCTGAAAGTCCACACTTGTCTCACTTTCACACACTTTTATACCCAGACATTTAGTCTACTGCATTGATTAGACTTTCAAACAACGCTCTTGTTCTACAGTAATAGATTCTGCTACGGGTCAAGATTGCAGTTAAAAATCCAATTGAGGACCATTATAACGTTTCATGTCATAATATATTCATGGGCACAGATCTAGCTCAGTGAAACAGTGCCTAGTGTTCATTGGAGTCTTGTCTAGCTTGCTGTTACAAAATAATGATACGGTGACCACACCGTTTTTGAGATAACTGAATCTGGAGAGAGCAACCATGGTAAAGCTACCTGTTTCAGAAAATTATTCTGCTCTACATAGTCTCGAAAATCACTCCACCATCTCTAAAAATTCTGTTTCTAACCAAACTTGTAAATATTTCCTGATAGATTAGTACCTACCCTATCGAGAATAAACATTGATTCATTTATCAAACACTAGATGGCGCTGCGACGGGCCGGAAAAGGAGAGAAGGTATTTTTATACAGGAAACCAAATAACCAACGGTAACCACTAGTATCCCTACTCCGAACTATATTCTACTCAAAACACTTTGCCTCACTGTTAACTGCCAAATTCCACTATAGAGGTACTTTCCTACTGTGGTAGGAGGTTTCTCAAAATAGATAACACATGGCACACAATCTGCTGAGATTTTGGAGAGAAATTATATAACGCTGAAACAAGCCCAAGTCAGACATAATATCAAATCATACTTATTAAAGAAACAATTGTTATTTACATGGATACAATTGGAAATAGGGAATAAGTACCTCATGTAGAAGCAGACTTACTTTTCCTTGTGATATGAAAATAGCCAAATGTTCATACGGGTATGGAAGTTGGTCAAGCTCTCTTCTCCTGACAATATACTAAAATACCATATTTGCTATACTGAGTCAATTTGAAAAGAAAAAACATTGCTTTAATCATTGCTAAACCTGGCCCAATATTTCATCAATGTATTTCAACCAATATGATATTACTGACACTACCATACATAACACTTGCAGGAAATATATTTTGTATACAATTACATGATTTGCTGGTTGTTTGAACTTCATTACTTGGTATGATATGTAGTAGGTCATATCCTTTTTTTGCTATTTACAGTCTCAAGTTGTCTTAGCACCCTTTCTCTCAAAAGGGCATTGGATTATTTTTCCTATTTAAACTGTTTACACACATTTACATCTTGCAACCACCCAAATGTCAAGTCTCTAAATTATTTCTACTGAAAGGTATAAATTGCTATATTGAAACTTTTCCTATTTCAAATACATGTAGTTTGTGGAACTTTTTTCTATTAAAAAGTTTTTCTACTTTAACTCAACTTTTCCATGTCGTAAAAGGTTCCTTCCTACAGATATCCTGGACTGGCTGCAGCATAACAGAAGTCCAAGTAAGCTTGACTTACCTGTGTCAAATACATACAAGATATTGCATGCTCCAGATGTATCATTGCGACCACCCCATAAGTATGCCAGCCTGTTGTGCGCCACTGCAGTGTGTCCATACCTCATATAGGGAGCAATACGGTATTGAGGGTCACTGCACTTTGGAACTGGTATAGCCATCCATTTGTAGGTCACTTAAAGCAATAGAAATGTCTTCATCATTTTTAGTGACATGAGAGCAGGAGTATTAAACCAGTAGACTTAAATTCCTTTTTTGTCATCAGGTTAAAAAGGGAAGAAACACAAAAAGAACCAAAATCTTTACATTAATTTCATTTTGTGACCTCACCTTTATTGCTATTGACCCTATGCATCAGTGTGACGTCATGCCTTTGTCCGGCCAGAAAATATTGCTGGCCGTCTAGAAAACGTCATAAGCAACCAGTGCTCAAAATGGCGACGAAGTGATGAGAAAAAATTAAAAGAGTATGCCTAAATGCTGCGTTGCTGTTGAATGTTCGAATAGAGAACAAGTCGGCATTACGTTTTATCGCTTTCCGAGTGACAAGAAGTCACCTGTAAAAAGAAAGCTATGGATAAATGCTGTAAAAAGGCAAAACTGGGAACCAAAAGAACACGATCGACTTTGCAGCGCTCATTTCTTGTCAGGTACAGTGTAGTAATCGAAACAGACCTGGTTTTCTAAATAATAAGTAAAATAAAATTTTATTAATTATAAAGTTATCAGTAAATAATGCACATTTAAATACCACGCATTGTGTTAATACCGCTATCATTAAACACGAGGGAAGTAGGCCTATGTAAGTAATATTATGTGACTGTCGGTGAGCCACGTTGATTTTCACGGGTATTTCTGCATGTACTTTTTATGGAGAAAACTAAGAACTTAAAATAAACCTTTGTAATATTTGTTTGGATATTGATGTGCGCTTCACTCGAATATCAATCATAGTGTTTCCACCCCGTTTTAATTTTTAAAATTGAGATCCCTTTCTAACATTGATATTTCACACAGAAAAAAATGATTGAGACCATGGCGTACATGACATGGGTATATACAAATCCACTTATTTATCAAACACATATTTTCAGGACAAAAGTCAAATATTGAAGATCATCCCGACTTCATTCCCTCTGTCTTTTCGTACAAATCTAGCGAGGAGATCGAGAGGAAGCGAAAGAGCTTACATGCATATGAACGTCATGCCTCAAAGAGATGCAGAGTCACGAATATTGTTAAGTGTGAAACATTCGACACGTTCACTGGTACGAGTGTTGGTACACAGACCGACCTTTCTTGTTCCGAGTTGGATAATATTATGCGAGAAGTGATGGACCTAAAACGTGAAAACACGGAATTAAAGGAAAAGAGCAGACTCTGTACTACATTAAGAAATGAACTTGAGACACTCAAATCCGAGAACAACCACTTACAGCAAGAGATTCGAAACCTAGAAATTAACGAGGAAACGTTTAAAAAATAACGAAAACAAACTGAAATATTATACCGGGTTGCCAACATTTGCAGTCTTTTTGGCTCATCTTAACATGATAATTGGACACCTGGTCCCCAGAGCAACCATGAGTAAATCTTCCCAATTCATATTAACCTTGATGAGACTTCGTCTAAATCTTGGCACTCACGATTTAGCATACCGCTTTAACATCGATCAATCTACAGTTTCACGAATATTCTCTCACGTAATCGATGTTTGCAACGCAAGACTTGTACCTGTACTTGTTAAATGGCCGAATGACTTATTGAATCTTCGGGCTACACTACCACGGTCGTTTTTAGGGGCATTTAGTAAGTGTGTTGGTATCATAGACTGTTTTGAAATTTTCATTGAAAAGCCAAAGGACCTTGATGCTCGAGCAACAACATATACACTGGGGAGTATCGTGATGCAACAACACCGTGTTGTTGCATCAAGATGGCCAGACTTCCGGTGATAGATTTTCGTACGATATGTTGTTTCCCCAATTTAACCCATTTCTAGGACGAGTTTCTCAATAACCATACACGTGAAGTTAGCCCACGGTCTATATTTAAAGAAACTGTCATTAGTATACATGTAGCATCAACAAGAAGCAAGAAGTTCACGGTTTTAGTTCCTCACTATTGATGCAACAACACCAAACCGAAGATGCAACAACACTCCTCTAGATTTGAGCAATGATGCAACAACACCAATTAATAGTATTATTTCAGAAGACCATAAATCTCAGGAGGAACAGATTTTCAAATGCTACTATTGCAACACCGGGCCAGTACCCATTTGCGTTCTTCTCAGGCATTCAAAATACACGTCCTGTGGGCGAAGATTCTATATATGTATTTTCAAAAATTTATACTTTAAAATATCATAATGTACTGGAAGTTGTTTTATAACATAGTTCAATCGCCTTTAACATTGCAAGCTATAGTAACCCAATCTATTTTCATAAACCCCTGTTCCATAGCTTGATGACCCTGACTCCAGTTAGTATCATTCTGAAATGGTGGACAAACATCTTTCGTTCTCGGTAAACACGACGAGCTATTGGAAATCTTGCAGGGCGCACATGTAGAAGCATTTGTTCTCTTTGGATTCGGTCTCCCCGATGGAGTATAAAGGTAGGTAATGGGATTTAGGTCCCGAAAAGGTAAATTGATAGGGGTACAGTAATCCCAGATTCCCCCTGGGCCCTCGGGAAATATCATAATGTCTCCCGGAATAAAACCTCTATATAATAGCATTGTATAACTGCAATTATCATTAAACCAACACTCATCGGAAGTTATGGCGTTTTGAAAACTCAAAATCGCTAAATTTGGTGCCCCATGTTAAGTCAATGGGAAATTTTTTTTGAAGTGTAAAATACGACATATATACGACCGAGTACAGCTTAATTTAATGAAAGCCTTTAAATGAAGGGTACCTCAAAAGCAATCTAGCTTCAAAATTTGGACACAAAAATGTCTAGGTCAAAATCTAGGTCAAATTCAAAGTTTTCCTTATTTTTGTGATTCTGACACTACACTTCAATTATATTCTTCGATATTGTGTATACATGTAGCCAAGAGTGTACTAATAGTGTTAGCCTTTTGCCGTCAGAAAGTATTTTAACCCACTTTTGAGATATGGTGTCCAAAAAGTAGGTCAAAATAAAAAAAATCTCCAAATTTAAGGTTTGAGTTATGAATGAAGAATATAATTTTCTCAGGAATCAGAATCTGCAAACCAAATTTCGATCCGACTTCCGGTTCGGAAGTTATGGCGTTTTGAAATTTCAATAAAAATCGATCTGATGGTATCCTGATAGAAAGTCAAGAGTAGCGAAGAAAATGTTGAAAAATCCATCCATCCTTCCTATCCTATCCTACTATTCTATCCTATCGTTCCTTCTTATTCTATCCTATCCTTCCTATCCCATCCCTTTTATCCCTATCCGTTCCTTCCTATCTATCCTTCATATCCTTTCCTTCCTATCCTTCCTATCTTATCCTTCACTGCTATTCTATCCTATCTTTCTTCTCTATTCTCTCCTATCGTTCCATTCTATTCTGTCCTATCCCTCCTTCCTATTTCATCCATCCATCTTTTTCTGGATGACTCGGCTTAAAAAAGTCTAGATCTGGAGTCTGAAATTGAACTTGTTCAATTTCCAAAGTCTAGTTATATTAGTTCTTTGTAAACAAGTTCCATATTATACGGTAAATCAAGGGGATTTAATTTAGAAAATGAATAATCTTTATTTTTCAGATACAATATCAATGAGGTTGGCTCCCGGGGATTCAATACTTAGCCTATGTATTTAGTTTACCTTGTATATCCTTTTAACTTTGACAAAGACAAATATATTAAGGAACCAAACAAAATACGTTTCATTCATGAACCACGCATGAACGCGTTTTATTCGTGTCCCGACCAACACCTATAAACAGAACATAAAACAGTTTCTCTTGATATTCAATGATACAATTATATTGGCGTTTTTGCATCAGCACATTGGTGTTGTTGCATCATCGATAATAAACAGAGTGGTGTTGTTGCATCAATAGTGAGGAATTAAAACCGCGAATTTCTCGCTTCTTGATAATGCTACATGCATACTAATGAGAGTTTTTTAAAATATAGATCATGAGCTAACTGCACGTGTATGATTATTGAGCAACTCGTCCTAGAAATGGGTTTAAATTGGGAAAACAAAATATCGTACGAAAATCTATCACCGGAAGTCTGGCCATCTTGATGCAACAACACGGTGTTGTTGCATCACGATACCCCCCAGTGATATAGTCACTATAAATCGAACAATACAATCAAATATCTTATCGCAATTGCACCCCAAGGCGTTGTGACTTTTGTTTCCAAAGGTTGGGGAGGACGTGTTAGTGACAAACATTTAACTGATAATTGTGGTCTTCTAGAGAAGCTTCAGCCAGGAGACTTAATACTTGCAGACCGTGGTTTTGACATACAAGATCTTGTTGGACTTCATGGTGCAAAAGTAGAAATCCCAGCTTTCACAAGAGGAAAATCGCAATTAAGTTTGTACGAGGTGGAATCTACCAGAGGATTAGCCTCTGTTCGAATACACGTTGAGAGAGTTATTGGTTTAGTCAGGAGCAAGTACACAATGCTTAGTGCAAAAATACCAATATCACTCCTTCAAACAGATGAAACAACTGGGCTTACTACTCTAGACAAGGTGGTTTTTGTTTCCAGTGCCCTGTCAAATACATGTGAATCAGTTGTACCATTTTAATAAAATATGTTATATTTTGGATTGAATTACACAATTCGTAATATACATTGCAGTCTAGTATAAAATCAGTGTCTAGTATAAACTGATGAGGTTACACAGTGTCACTTCATACAGAATATTTACTAATTCAAACCTGGAAAATAAATTCACGTCCTTCCTAACATTGGATCTATGAAGTCGAGAGATTTATTTTAGAATCCTTAAATTGACAGTTTCTACACCATGTACACTGGTCTTAATTATTCCTCTTATCAATCAATGAAAACCTCATCATTTTTTCAAACGTTTCATGGTTCCAATAAATTATTACAAGACGGGAATATAATGTTCATAGACTCTAATATGTACAATATATACAGTAACAGTAACTTGTCAAAGGTTTGATTTGTGCTAAATATGGCTGGAGGTACATGTATTTACA